AAATTCTCTTTCTTTCTTCTTCTTTCTCGTTCGGTACGTGTCGGTAGACGAAGCAGGAAAACTTGTAGCGAAAGATGGGTACAAGGAAGTAACGGCGAATGAAAGAAAATCGAAAAAGTGAAAAAGCGAAAAAGCCTGCCGATTTCGCAGAAGATTGAGCGAACTGGGTGCTTCTTCTCGATCGACTAGAATAGCTTCGGGATACGATTTTCTAGCGCGCGTTGACTCCGTTGATTGCGAGGGTGCGACATCGTCGAAAACGTTTGCCCGATAGATACGGGCAGAGTTTGAGTAGGGGAAAAAAAAAAGAAAAAAAAACGAGCATAAGCTTTTTCGCAGAAACAGGAACGATAATATTATCTGTCTTTATTTTATGAAGCATTCAGAATATAATATTAAAATAATATTTTGAATTTTAAGTCTCGAAATAATAATACTTGTTCCTTCAACATCTTTATTGCTTTTTTAACGAGAACTAGAGAATCCTCCATCTTCGTTGATTTAATCATTTTATTTTGTCTCGTTATGTTAATATTCCCGCACTCGAACGAGTCCCCAAGGCGTAAAAATACAGCGAGACAAGTTAACGTCCAAGGACACAGGGTCTAAAGATACGACGTACTCATATTTTTCGACCTTCGATTTACGCCGACCATCTAAGAGAAGAGATTATTTCCGACCATACGAACTTTTCACGATCGAAGGAGCTGCAAACGTCGCTTTATTATCGATACTCGTATAAATATATCATACGACGTACCATTATTTTCTGCATAATAAGGCGACTTTCAAGGATTATGAACGCATATACATTCTCATTACGTCGTTGTTTTCGTAAGCGACTCGAGAACTAGTAAGTATGCCATAGGTATGATCATAAAGACAAGGTTGTCTTCCGATATCGTTGATAATAATATCGAGTGAAGCAAAGGACCAGGAAATTTGATGAACGTGCAACGTGCACGTCTAAGTACTTGGATTAAATTTTACGATTATCAAGGATGGCGAGAGTAACAGCGAGATCCTGGTTCGTAGGTTCGACAGGAACGTCAAACCCAAGGAGACTAAGAGATTAACGGTATGAAACTTGTACGAGGAAAATATTCTAAAGATTATCTAAATTAGAAATACTCTCTGCTCCTATCATATTTGGATAACTTTTCAAATGTTTTCACTGTTTCTGACATTCGATTGAAGTTTCTTATATATGCAGACACACGCACTTTCTTTTTTAAACTTTTTCAACTTTAAACCGTACGAAGGACTCTATATGTAGGAGCCAATTTCGATATCAGGACGGGAATCGCGACGTTCTTCTACAAGAAGAAAACACGAATACTATGACATGTGGTCTGGGCAATGCCACCGTACCGTTTGATATTCGTTTCTCCACTGCTCGAATGCCTTTCGTGATTCTCACGACAACGCATATGAAAAAGAAAGGCACGTGAGCAAAGTAACGCCCTGTCGATGAGCGAAAGGAAAAAAGAGAATCGCGATTAAAAAACTACGTCAAAGACCTAGAAATATCTGTATATATTATATATCTGTATATAATAATTTTGATTTTATAATAATTACATATTTATCATGGAATAAAAGGGAGACAAGAAAAGCAACGAACAAACGTATATTTCTACTTTTACGTACGAGGTAGGTGAAAAAGTTTTTAATAGAAGAACCTGTCAAAACAAATTTCATCGAGCGGTGTAAAGAAAAACATAAAAAGAAACAAAACGCGACCACGTCACAGTGAAATCTTCGCACGCTCATATGCAGACGAGAAAAACGAATCGTCGACGATTTTCTTTTTTTCTTCTTTTTTTTCTTTCTTTTTTTTATTTTTCCTGTTTTTTGTTTCACTTTTTCTCTTTTTTTTTCTGGTTTTGTTGACGTCAAAACCATACTGCCTGTCTCCTACGCGTAAATAATTCATAAATAATTCTACTTTGAGCGACGTTCTCTTTTTCTCTTTTTCTCTTTTTCTCTTTTTCTCTTTTTCCTGCCTCGTCATCCCTTTTCTCCTCTCATCCACATCGATGCGCGCAGGCAATAAAGCGACGATATATTTTTCAAAGTTTTGCGTTGGGGTTCCTGACGATTCGCGGTCGTGAGTACTTATGAAGGCTCTGTGGATGCGCTATCACGGACACAACCGCCCAATGTCCGTGTATGCGTTTCTGTATTAAACGACCACGATGAGGAGATAGAAGCGTTTCCTATGATTTTCCGTATAATATGAGAGTCTCCGAGCACTCAGAACGATGTATGTCGCCGTAGAAAGCAGGAAACTCCTGAAACTTTTCGAAAACGATAAACCTTGAATTTTCTGGAAAATATCAACGAGCGAAGAGTAACGAACACGAGCATTTTCGAAAACCCTTAAAAGAGATATTTTAAAAGGGAAATCTTCACAATATTTGTTGTCAATATTGTCGTACTTAAATCGTTCGATGTATTTTTCAAAGTTTTAACGAAGCGCGTTCACCTTCTCAGTTCCACGTACTTTCGTCCTTCTTATAATTCTTACTTATAATTCCAATTTATATGTCTGCTGGCTCCTACCCTAGTACAACTAGCGTGTAGAAACGTGCGCGCATTTATATCTATGTACGTCTATACTCGCGATGAGTAATGGCAGGCGTCCATCATCGAGCGCGTGCGTCTGACACGAGTCTCGAGTGTAGTGCGAGCTGCACATTGGCCCATCAGAAAAACGATAGGAACGCGAATGTAAAAGGGAGGTTAAATCGTTGAAAGGGAGAGGAATAAAGAACATGCGTCTGATTTGAGCAATGCCTGATTACCGCGAATAGAGCAAACGTTTCTATATGGCCAAGAGATAGAGAAATAAATGGATAGATAGATATAAACAGCGAGACAAAGAGAGAGAGAGAGAGAGAGTCTCTATAGAGAGGTAGATACAAAAGTTGAAACAAATGTCGAATTTATCGGAGGAAAAATCGGAGGTACGAGGAAGAGGAAACCACGTACCAAGAGTCGACATGAGTTACGAGCGAGAAAACCGTGAAGAGGTGGAAGTAAGAGAGGAAGCAAACGGAGACGACGACGTTTGTTCGTTCGTTCTCTATATCCTAGATCGTGTTTGAATTACGATCGCCGCTAGCGCCGAACTGGAAATGGAACCCACCGAATGGTGGAAACGACATAAAATTCAGTGAGGACGTTTCGGTCTATCTTTCTTTTCCTTTCTCCCGACTCTTGCATTGCGCCCGATCACTTTCGTGCGAACAACAAGCCACCCTCCTCTTACGCAATGTCCGCGTTATGATTTGCAAGATCCCTCGAAGAGTCAAGAAAAGATACGAGATGGTAGTGGTAGTCGAAGAGGGATTTACAAGGAGCGAAAGAGGGACAAAGCGTCGCGCGCGCGTTTTCACGACGGCTATGCTTTATCGAACGTGCATTCACGGCTGCGCAGCTTTCTTTTTAGTCGCGTTTTACGCTCTCCCGGCGATCAGGTGAGAAACAGGGCATGAAATTTATGACGCGTTTACAATGTTTCAGATTCGAGAGTAACGATTCCTCGGAAATCCGTCCGTTATCGTCAATTTTATGGCGATCTTCGAAGAGAATCACTCATTGTCCGTTTTTTGATTTTGACAAGTTTATCGAACGAATAAATAAATACGAGTACATATATATATATATATATATATATATATATATATATAGATTTTTACGTAAGGGGGGAGGGATCTTTTGTTTTTGAAAATCGTTCTCCCGTTGAAAGTAAGCAATCTCATTGAAACCGATCGCGATATAGCACGTATTAAGCGACGAACTTTCGATTGTGAGACTCTCATCGAGAAACAGACTGCTGGCGAGTAAATGGGTAATCGATTTTGCTCGTGCAAACAGAATGTCCTTCATATTTTAAGCTCCGCAACGTATGTCGGCCGGTGCTTCCGATGCAATTTGCATGATCTCGCGTCACTGAAATTCTCTCGTCGTGGTTAAGTCGACGAATAAAATATCTATCGACTACCGAAAAGCTTTCGTTTTGTTTCGGACGTTTCGGGAGACGAAAGAAAGAGGAGAAACACTTTGCTTCAAAATGTCGTAATCTCTACCGAACGAAATTAGAATAGACTATTGAAATATTTGAGATAGAAGGGAATAGAACAAAAAGGGGAAAAAAAGGAAGAAAAGAAAGATCGGTAACATTGGGACAAACATTTGGAAAATCTCGACCTACCGTCGTGCACTTTGTGCGCGTAGTTTCGCGCTTATTTCTCACATATTAATTAGGTCAGTCCGTATAAAAAACTCCATCAGTCTTCGCTCTCGCCCGTCGCACCCTCTAACTCCACCGCGCACACTTTTCCCGCTCCATCGTCCGTGATGGTCCCTGCAAACATTGTTACCCATTAGGAGAGTTAACGTTAGCGCGAGACAAACACTCCCACCTCCGGTCTCTTTTCACCGTAATAAATTAATTCTCCGGATGAGGAATGAGATAGCTGCAGAGGGACTTTCACCTTCTCTCTCTCTCTCTCTTTGTATCTGTTCTAACCGTTGGGTATGGCACGCGTTAAGTGTAATCACATCCAACAGGAAAGAATTTTTAAATGGCAGGAAAACTCCGAGTCTCGTGACGTATTCTTCTATTTTTATATATTAAAAAGTTAAAAAATAAAAAACAATTATGTTGAAAATCCCTTAAAATTATAAACAATCAATCCACCTCCATTTAATTTAAAGATCTGTGGAAATACGAACTTTGAAATCGCATTAACAAAGCATCTGTCATTATCTTCATCATTCGTCTCTTTTTCTTTCCGCCAGTAGTTCGTCCGTTCCTCCATAATACACTCTATTTCATTCTCGTATTAATCGTGCCAGACGGATTACCCGATTTTTCCATCGATCCCTAAGCGAATAGATAGCCTTATGTACGCAGTATTGTGTTCGAATAAGTAAAAGCATTCCTTCAACGTTCAATATCATTTCTTACTCTCTTAACGAATTTATTTCAGGTGTATGCGACCGTAGCGCACTTTCAGAGTGATTCATCGACCGAGTTATGAAAGGAATATTAGAATCTTGGCGCAAAAGGAAACAGAAAGCTCGTAACTTTCGGGCACGAGAAGAGGCGCTGATGGGTGGAACGTGGGAAACGTTAAAAAGCGCTAGGTAAATGAGAAGATTCTATATTAACTCTCTCTCCCTCTCTCTCTCTCTCCCTCTATTCCTTTTCTTTGTCCTAAGATTTCCACAGTCTCTTATTCATTTTCGTTATTAATCATAGGGACGTTAGTAATTAGCAACAGCCGCACTTGCATCGGCACAGTCACCAGTAGCATCGCCGTTGGTGTCGATCGTCGTCATCACACTTGTCGTCGTGGTACTAGTACTACCGGGACTAGTACCAACCTCGAAGTAGTTACCACTACTGGTACCGTCGTTTACCAGTGATATGGTACGAACAGCAACCAGCAACGGCGTTGCTGATGGAGGCGGAAATGGAACGATCGCGGCCGAGACACTCATACCACGAACGTTGAGTGCACAATTGGGGGAGAGAGCAGAGAGAGAGAGAGAGAGAGAGAGAGAGACAGAGGGAGAAAAGGGGAGAAGGATGAGTGTAGGGAAAGCCCGGCCCTCGAAAGGGTAATCCACTGTCGAAAATACAATTCCGTGTGCCTGCTGCGTTATTCCACGTCCACGGAAATCGTGTTTCCAGGACTGGAACTAACGGACATCGCGCATCGAAAGGGAGAGAGAAAGAGAGAATAACGAGCGATTCTCTTACGCTAGAAACAACAGTAATATTAGCATTTCGAATCTAGTCTCTCTTATTTTCTTTTTCTTTTTCTTTTTTCATTTTTTCTACTTTTTCTTTTTCATTCTTCTATTCTTTGTTTTCTCTCACCGAGCGTAAAGTACACCCCAAAGATTACTTACTTTTTAATTTTCCGTAACATTTCGAAATAAATTTGAGTATCAAAAGAATAATGAAAAAAAATCTTGTAGGAAGATTTTTTTCAAGAGACTTTTTTACCTGATCCAGATGCAATATATACAAAAATTCTATGTGAAATTAATTTACACGTCCGTCGACTAATTTTCCAGGATTTCACAAACGCAAGAAGAAAAATCTTGGATTATCTACCTAGGCTGCTTGCCTGGCTGTCTGCCTTATTGCTGGCTACTGTGGTGGATGAAGCGAGCTCGTCAAACCGTGTGTGAGAGAGAGAGAGAGAGAGTTGGTACATTCTAGAAAATGTCGTTACGTTGATTGTAATTGTGCTGCCGCGGCGAGAGAAGAGAGGGAATTGAATCCGGCCTGTCACGGGAAAAAGGTGGATCATTTTCATGATTTTACTTCGGCCTCTTTCCCGACCTGCCAAGGGATAGAGAAAAAGAAAGAAAGCAAAAAAGAGAAAATTACTATCGACCGGTGCTTAACCGCACTCACGCGGTGAAAATGGCTTCGTACTCGATTTTCTCTTCCCCTTTCTCTCTCTCTCTCTCTCTCTCTCTCTCTCTCTCTCTCTCTCTCTCTGCGAGTACGCGCGCGCGCGCATGAGCACTTTCCTCTTCGTGCTTACCCTATCCCCCGTTAGAATCACTGCGTATTATCGAGAGCAATATCCCGTTTAGGTAGGTGGAAGTATGCGTCTCTCTAGATCGATCGTGCATTATCGCATCTGGATAATGCAAATTGCAAGGACCACGATGATAACGACGTAGGCGGAACCATCGAGCGAAAATCTTATCGGAACATCGTGCCAAACACTACTTATTTTGTCGACTAGACAGAAGAAAGATAATTATCCATTCGATTTCTCATTATGCAAAAGAAATTTTGCTTTTTCTTCCACGTAGCACGAATAAGTTTTAACTTTTCAGAAAAGATATTCTTTTTCATGGCAGACTGTCTAGACGCATCATCGAGATAAAAAAATAATCCTTTAATTTTATCGCTAAAGACTTTAGAACGTGACTTTGCAAGAAGGCAGAAGAAAGAAGACCAGCTTCGAAGAAAGCTTTATCATTCGAAGAAAGAGAGAAAATGTTTCCTCGTCTCTTCCGTCGGCACATATTTTTTTCTGTTTTCCATATCTCTCTTTGAGTTTCCCTTAAATCTCTGAATTTCTTTCTCGCACGAACGAGAGCGCGGCATTTAAAGAATTTTCGTGGCAACGTTTTGCATTTACGAGAGGACTAATTAGAAAAAATACGAAACACAGAGACATTAAGTAGAGAGGAACGAAAGATCTTAAATGCGGCCAATGCGGTTTTATTTATCGATCGCACAATTTTCGGCCACGTTGAAAATATACACTAGGCGGACCATTCGCCGAGGATAGAGTTTCAAACGGAATCGCAGAGGAAAGAAGGAAGGGAAGGCTCGCGGGCAAAAAGGTAGCTTGAAAGCATATCCCTGTCGTCCTTGGCTTTACGAACCCCATCCGCCGATGATTCTCGCTTATATTTTTATAGCCAGAGGTTATGAGCAGTCTTGGATAGTAGCCTCTATTCTCCTTCTCCTTCTTCTTCTTTCTCTTCTACTTCTTCATCCCGATCCCTTTATCCACGCACACCGTTAAACCGCTCCCGGAACGCATCGTAAAGCACACCTACGTAACGCTTTCCATTTTCCTCGGTAAGCTAACGCACGACGACACGTATACGAGACGCGTAGACGCATGCATAGCTCGGTGCGAAGAATCTCGCTATAAACTCGCTGCTTCGTGAGATAACGCTTCTAAACTCGAAGGAACCTTGTTTTTCTCCGAGTAACGCCTCACTGAACTCGAGCATCCATTCTTGGTACGAAATGAACCTAACGTTTTCGATTACATAAATTCACGGCTACATCTTTTCCGAATCATTTTAACGAACGTTGAACGTATCGTACAAAGGATTCGAGAAAAAATAAAACTAGTAATACTAACGCCTCATTTATCTTCGAATGTGAATTTTGCGAACTTTGCGAATGCTTTCGCAACAACTAAAGTTTCCGATTATGACTCGTCCCAAAGGCGAAAGTAAACACACCGGTTATGGTCGTAACGGTAAACAGCAGCCTTGCTTTTACGTCGACTGCCCTTCTCCTTTCCTTAAAGTTCACATTGCAACGGCTGTTAGAAACCCTCGAGATGGTCCATCCCTCGAGGACTCCCAGTCACCCTATTCTCGCTTCTCCTTCGACTCTCCATTCGTTTATCGTTCCTTTCTCGCAGTTTTCACGCACGCTTTTATCGCACTTTCCGTTGCCGACCATCGTCGAGCCGATCCTTTTTACGCGCGACCTACGTAAGCACGTCATGGAACGGAAACGACTGAACACATTGCCAGTTTTCTTTCTCTCGGCAAAAGTCTACATCGTAGACTTTTCTGCAACGGATCACGATACCAACAAATGTTTCTAACTGCGCGAAGAGTTTCCATTTCTTTCTCGAACGCGCTTATGATTTTTTCCCGCTTATGATAGGACGGAACTTACGGATAGGACGGAAATTGACGAAAGCTTGCAAGAGAGAGAGAGAGAGACACGGTGGGAGAAAAAAGAAGGGAAGCAGGAGAAGAATAAGAAATGGCATCGAGTCTGAAAGGTAACAGCATTAGACGAGAAGAACTCGGAAATATGGGATAGGAAGGAGGAACGGTGGTTGCTGCCTTCCTTCTAACGTGCATCGAGATCGTCAATGCATTTTCTCGCGATGATTCAATTGGCTTGACTTTCATCCAATGAACTGTGACTTCTCCCATCGCTTTTTTCCCATTCCCTCGAGAAAGAGAGAGAGAGAGAGAGAGAGAGAGAGAGAGAGAGAGAGAGAGAGAGAGAGAGAGAGGAAAAGGAGAAAATGTCGTCAAAGAAGCGGAATAAACTATCCTGGAATTTCATCGTACTTTCAGAATTTTATGTTTCGTCGAAACAATTGAAAAACGCAAAGATATTCGTATTTCGAAATTAATCTTTGGAAAATTCGTGGAACGAATTTTTACGGGAGGAAAGAAGACGATGACGCGTACAAGATCTTGAGAAAAATATGAAAATAGTAAATAGTAATATTGATCCTTGTATTAAAAATAGAAAGCTAAGATCTTAGGATTCTAAAGCAGACTACGTCTGCTTATTTCGTAGTCGTCGCACATTCGATGGAAGAAGCGACCTTACGACGAACTGCGCCACCCTGATCGTTCGATTACGCGAGAGACGGGAATAAGCCTTGAGAACATGGGAGGGTAACGCGGCTAACGGCACCTCGCGTCGATATTTCCGGCGCACAATACAGCTATCCTACTACCTTCTTTCCGGTCTTTTACAAAGATTCTTTTAGATACTCTCTCTCTCTCTCTCTTCCTCTCCCTCTCGCGCTGCGTTCTTACATGCATTTCTTTCGATTCAGTTTTATCTTTACAACTTTCTACTTTGAACTCATTTTCCAAGACCCGAGATCCTACGAAATAAATTCCCATAAGCATTCTTCGATTTCTTTATTTCTCTAGAACAGAGTCACTCGTATACCGAAACGATCGAACTCGATTATTAGTACAATCGGATCAATACGAGCATCGCTTTGCTAATCGATCGTACTTCGATCGAATCCTTTCGTAATCTTCAAAGCACATATTAGCGAGGTTCTTGGGAAGAGGCTCTTTCTTCGCTCGGTTATTTTTCAATCGTACCTTCGAGATCCACCGTTACTCCTTCCATTCTTCTGCCGAAGTATCCACATTACAACGTCTCTTATCCAGAAATGCGTTCTGAACGCTCCATCAAGCGGGATAAAGGAAAGCAAGGAGATATAGATCAAACACAGAAGCGGGAGAGGCCAGGAAATTATACACGGATTATGACCGTGCTCAGATTGAAGCGACTCCCTTTGTCGAGCGGTAGATATCTTTCATTCTCTCTACACCTAACTTCGCGTTTAACTCCCTTATATACTGTCCGACGACAGTATTCGCTTTCCACGTCCATCGTCTTCCCTCAAAGATTACGTTTTCTTCCAAAGAATGATAGTATCCAGACTTTTCGCAGATAAAGATTCAACGTGGGTTAAGAGCACGAAGTAATAGAGGGAGGTGTCATGCGAATGAAGAAAAACAGAGGACTTGTTCCAAGAGCAAGCTTCGTTATGACACGCGAGAAGACTTGAATGCGGTCTGCTGAATGTCCAACGCTGGAATTTCTACCGAGCTTTGTTACTTTGCTAACAACCAACGAGCTAGCCTAAAACTTGCACATAATCGTGAAAGTGAGTGAGTTAGTGTGCGTGTGTGTGTGTGTGTGTGTGTGTGTGTGAGAGAGAGAGAGAACACGTCGCATTGCGGTTACAGGCCGGACAATACCACACTTTGGTCAGAGGTAACTACTACTCTATGGAATTGATACAGTACTCGCGAGTCTTAACAGAGGTTCCGTTTCGTAATTTCGAATAGTTTCGGTCTTTAACGAGAGAATTTCCTCATTCTATAGCGCGAAGTAAAGATGTGAAAAGTGCAAAGTAAAGAAAATCTTGCCTATTGACGAACAAAGAGTGCAAGCAACTTGGAATATTTCTTTCTCTTTTTTCCTAGCACGCACGCTTCTCGTCTTTTATATTATGCATGCACGACGAAGAAAAATTTTTCCGGCCATCGACCCCCGGCCTTCTCTTCCCTTTTCTCAAAAACAGCACGGTAAAGATCCGCGTGACCGCAAAGAAGATGAGAAGTTAACGGTCCCTTTTTTCTTACAAAATCGAAAATTCATAAGGAACGCATGGCGAGGAACGAAACGGCGAGTAGACGTGTCGTCATTGTTATCGTAAAAATTTGCAAAAATGCGACCGCGACTCGACAGATCCGAAATCGATGTTGGAAACGAAATGGCTTTATATACCTATCTATCCTCGGTGCTTTTTATTTGATCGTTTGAAAAATTTCAAAAACAATGTAGAAACAAAAGAATGTAGGAAATAAATAAAAAATAATTTTTCCCGCTCGATACGATCTCGGTGAGATCGACTTGTACGAGAATGTACGCATGAGTTTGTTAACTCAGCTCGGTACAGAAACATAAACACGATATCGTTTTCCGATGCAACGAACTTAGTCCGTAGAAAA